GATAGAAACAGATTAAGGATGAATGTTAATCAGATGTTACACAAAAACATAGAAATGTGTTCTGATGTTCATCTGGTCTTGAGTTTGGGTAAATTCATCCTCACAGGGAACAAAACATAATTTAAAAACTGATTTTTTTAAACTTTCAAAGCAATGTTGTGTTTGAGCATCCAGACATGTGCTAACACAGCGCCAATCTGGGAAAGGTTCAAAGGTCATCTGCAACACATCTGAAGTTTTCTGCTGAGAGGGAGATTATTTCCCAGGTGGAAAACATTTTAATATTAATTCCTCAGGAAAATCACAAAGGAACCCACAGCTCTGTTAACAATTAGCATGCTAAACATGCTAACTTGGGCGCTGCATCAAAACCCTCTGAAGATACTGAGCACAACTTTCTTCTTCACCAGATGGAAACTAAATCAGATTTTAGGGATTGTAGGATTATTTTCTCACCTTTGGCTAAAGTCCAGGAGCCATTTCTCCTGCTAGCACCAGCCTACCGCGTTTGTTTTGGTTGTATTTACCCAGAATGCTGCTGCGGTTCAGGCTGGTCAATCAAGGCTGACGTTTCTGACTGTTGTTTCCAGGATCGCTGGTTGTGGCGTCTGAGGAACAACAAGGTCCTGGAGGGCTATCCCATCGAGGTGGACCAGTTCTGGAAGGGCCTGCCGCCTCGCATCGACGCTGCCTACGAGAGATCCGACGGAAAGTTTGTCTTCTTCAAAGGTAATTGAACAGAAACCAGGAGAAACCTGACAAACACTGCCAGTGGCTTTAGTTGCTATGAATTCAGGACATAAAAAGAACCAGAAATGTAATGACTTTGATATCCAACACATTTCAAGTTTTTTAGTAACTCAATGTTCTTTATTACTTAAATCAATGGATAATTCAGGATTTTCTTTGTCCCATGTTTTATATCTTTCTTGTTTTTAATCATGCTACTTTCTCTTTGAGGGATTTGCATGACATGCCGTCTCCCCCTGTGCTGCTGTTGTAGTTTATAATTTAGTTGATAAGTTATTTATCATAAGACATTGTCCCCAGGTTATCAATGCTAGAAACCCTCTTGTTTTGCTTCTGAACCTTTATAAATGGAATATTGACCAACATATTCGACGTGTTGATGATTTTGATGATGGCACTCGATAAAATGTAATGTTTGTTTCAGTTGCATGATGTTTATGACGTTTTCTTTTTTGTTGTTTTTATGATGTAAAGCACTGTGAATTGCCTTGATTCTGAAATGTTATGCAAATAAACTTATACATCTGGAATTATTGACTTAATATACCTTGATGAAAAGTTATTTGTAAATGAGTCTTATCTTATTTCAAGTGAACTAAGATGTTTGCACTAGAAACTAGACCAAAAATACAAAGTGAGATTTTGTGTTTGAGTACAGATGTTAGACACAAACATTAAAAGATATCAATCAAGATAAAAAACCCTTGCTATGCCCCTTTGTTTTTATTTCAGGTGACAAGTTCTGGGTGTTTAAGGAGGTGAAGGCCGAGCCGGGTTACCCTCAGAGCCTCAGGGAGCTGGGCAGCTTCCTCCCCAAAGATGGCATCGATGCCGCCGTCCGCTGGGAGGTCGTCGGGAAAACCTACTTCTTCAAAGGAAACCAGTACTGGCGCTACAATGAGGAGAAGCGGACGGTGGACCCGGGATACCCGAAGCCCATCAGTGTGTGGGATGGAGTCCCCGACTCTCCACAGGGAGCCTTCACCAGCAGAGAGGGATGTGAGTACCAGCATGATTTTGCTTTTCAATTTGTCTAAATCATTAGAAATAAAAACCGCCAGCTCAGCCATGATGAAGCGCTCTGGACAGAACAGAGCCCTGGTTCCGGTTTTGTAGCTGAACTGAACCCTGGCTTTAAAGCCAGTAAATCTGGCTTTAAAGCCAGTTTCACTGAGGTGGTGTGAAGAACATCTAGCATCAGAAAAATAGACCGAAAGCAGACGGTTGTTATTTAAAATGTTTGAGGTAACACATTCAAAGTTTCAAATTCGAAAAGACCTACAAAGGGACAGCCGTCTAAAAGACAACGCCAGCTCAGCCATGAGCCATAACCAGGACGCAGTATCCACACAGGCTGCAAGAGATTTAATGCAGAAACTTTTCTCATAAATTTCTTACCACAGACTATGGTGGGACCACTGCAGCCAGCATCATGGAACGATGGTGGCCATCGTGGCACCAGTTCTTGTAGTGGATAGTTTGATATCCACTACATCCACCTTGGTCATTGTGTCCTTGGACAAGACACTTGACCTGCCTTGCGGGGTCAGAGGTCACGGTGGTGCCAGTGCCTGGCAGTCTCTCCTCTGTCAGACCATCATGAATGGGTGAATGACTGAATGTGGTGTGAAGCACTTCATGGCTCTGGACTTAATAAAGCACCATTTATCATTTACTTCACTGAGGGATAACAGTTCCCTTCGATTTCTGTTGAATGGAGAAAGGACTGTTAAAACCTTCTGACTGCAGCCTGGGGAACTTTTAAAAAGCAGCTGTCTGTGCGCCTGACGCTCTGAGTTCATATGGCTGAAGCTGAAACCTGGGAAATCCTGTCCAGCGCAGCAGAAGCCCCTTTAGAAGCGACTTCTGCTGAGGTTTAGTCATGGCTTTTAACAAACCATCCCGCTGTTCCGTCCATCATCTGGTTGTTTTCAGCTCAGCTTCAGAATCTGTCCAGATGCTACAAACTAAACTCATCTGTTCTGAACCAAAGCCCATCAACCAGCCAAAGCCGTGGATGAGCACAGCAGCATGCAGCTTCTCTGAGCCTCCAGAAAACCTGATTCGATACCAACTCTTCCTCTTCACCAATTTAGCAGGAACAAGAGAATCAACTTGATAAAACTGATGGTTGGATTCTTGCTGCTTTCAGCAGCACTGTTACTGTGACTTTGTTTAGGAACAATTCAGCAGATTAAACCTCAAAATAAACTGATTTAATTTTGCTAAGAGTTTCTGAGGGTTATTTCTGGTGCGTCTGCAATCAAAGGTTCATGTATTTAGTTGTTGCTAGGATTGGGTTTGTGTTGGGTTCTGGTACCTGTTGTCTTTTGGACCAAAATGTTGTTGACAACTTGAATAAATTCAAAGATCTGGAGCTGATCTGTTTTTTTTAAACCAACGCTGCTCCTCTTTATAGCTCTGTAGGTCCGTTGGGTTGAAAGGATGCATAGAAAGATGTTGGGATTTGGGGTCATAGTTCAGGAACACTTGACCTTTTGAGATGCTAATCAACTACAACTAGCTGTAAAAACAATTTTTTGTTGCATTGGTTACAAATTTGTGTTTTCACAACTGTGTAAAACCAAAAATCTTCAACATGCAGGAGGGAATGATCATCGAACCAAAGCAACGAAGTCAAAGCAGGTTTATTTACGTAGCACATTTTAGCAACTGGTCAGTTCAAAGTGCTTCACATGGTTAAAAACAAAACACAAAAACAAATAAAAAAGAAACATTACATTGAGACAAAAGTTGCAATCCAGACGAGCGATGACGAGTTTTCTGGTTGCTAATCAAAGGCAGCCAGAGGTTTTCAACCTTGAGTCAATGAGCAAACTGTTCCCTGAAGGACTTCCCAAAACCTTTCTGCAAAATTTTGTTTAAAAATTTAGGTAAAATACAATGACGCCTTCATTGTCAGTTTGATCAAATCTGCTGAAAATCTGTGGCTTAATGGTCCAGTTTTTACGATTTCCTGGTCTGAATCAGAGCAACGTCTGGCTGAACTGAAACAGACGCATCAGATTTGTCCACGTTTTCATCTCAGTAGCTTCAATAAATAATTTACCTTCTCTCTGTTGATGTCGTCCATCACCCTCTGCCATCGGCACCATTATCCCACCCCCTCCTTCCTCAGATCACACCTACTTCTACAGGGGGAAGGAGTACTGGAGGTTCGACAACCAGAAGTTGACGGTGGAGCCTGGATATCCAAAGTCCATTTTACGAGACTGGATGGGCTGCTACCAGTCCGAGATGGAGCGATCCGGCAGCAACCGCGGAGACCGGCAACTGCCGCTTGACGACGTGGACGTCATCGTGACCATCAACGACGTCCCCACGACCGTCAACGCCATCGCTGTGGTGATACCATGCATCCTGTCGCTCTGCATCCTGGTGCTGATCTACACCATCTTCCAGTTTAAGAGCAAAGGGTCGCAGCAGAACACGATGATGCAGCATTACTACAAATACCCGGTTCAGGAATGGGTATGACAGGGGACCAGAACCCCAAGCTGTTGTCATTTTCAGCCAACAGAACTGGACCGAAAGACGCTGCCAGCTGGAGAGAGAAAATCTGAACTTTGAGACAAAGAGTTTAAAAGAAATGTTCGTATTTGGGGATGTTAAAACCAAACTGGGTTGACAGTAAAATAAAGTCCAGAGTGATGTGGAGCGAGTTTGTCTTCATCTCTTTTTGGACGCTGGAAGTTCTTGCTGGACAAACAAACTTGTTTCCTCTCAGAGAAAATAAGAGGCAGAAAATATCGCCCAGTTGGAAACTCCCTTTAGACTTTACATTAGAGCTGCTTCAGTTGAAAAGTTAGGTCCAACATAAGTAGAAAAAAAAACATTTAAAATTAAACTGAAAATAAAAGATAGGTAGAAAGGCCATAACAAAAAATAAACCAAGGAGCTTTCTGTGGATCACAGAACTCTGGTTTCAGTTATACTGGGATGGAAAACTGTTTTGATCTCTTTTTTTACTGAACAACATAATAAAAAAACTCACCACAGCTCATAACATGAAACTCTTTATTTAGTCACAGTAACAGAATCACTGATTTATGTAGGATTGTTCCAGAAGTAGAGACTCTTCTGAAGCTGAGGTTTATAATTATCAGTCTGATAGAAAATAAAAGTCTCCAATGTTAACAAATTGATGTTTAGGATTTAAGGAAACCTAAAGAGTCCCAAACATCTCCTCTCTGCTGCCATGATTTTACTTATTTACAGTGGATTTTAATTGAATTTCTCATTTAATGGAAGAACCACAATTACAAAATTGTAATTTTTCAACTTTCGCAGAACATGAACAAAGATTTGCACACGTTGGGAAATGCAGCTTCTGTTACTTATCTACCTTTCATTCTAAGACTGAACAAAAGAAACGATGCCACAGAAAATTCAAACTCCGGCATCGTCTTCCCACACATCCACAGTCTGGTCACCAGATAAGGCTGATTGTTAACAGATCCAGCACCTGTGTTGACGCTTCACTCACATCAGCATGCTGGATTCTTGAAAATGAAAGATTGAAAAGGAATAAAGTAGCCTTCACCTTATAACATGAAATAATGGGACAAACCACAAAAATATGTTTTATTTATTGACTTTATTATTTATGTAATGTATGTTTCATTTATAAAACATTTTCTGCATGAGTTTATTCATAAAGCACATTTACAACAACCTCTGCTGAACAAAATGCCTCAATAATCACAACTTCACATAAAAAACTAGAAATACATTTAAGATTGATACAAATATTAATAAATGATAATTAAATTTACCACACAATACCAAAAAATAATAATACAAATAAAAACCAAGACATACTTTTTTTTTCTACACATCTTTGGATTTTGGACCCAGTTTGATCTTTACTGGGTTTATTTGGTTTTAAATTTATAAGAGTTGCTGAAGTTTTTTTAAATGCCGATGCAGGAGTTTGCTATTGTTGCGCTATTTGTTCACACACTGCTGATGTATTCATCCTGCTTTGTTAGCTTTATGGTTCCTAAATCTGCAGCTTATAGTAATACTAACCTGCATTTAACCTTTAATCATTTGGTTTTAGATAAAACCAAATGCAGGTTTTAGTCCAAACCTGCATCCCTTTCACAAGTATAATAGTTCCAGATCTGAACTAAAAGAATCATTCCTGCATGTTAAAACCTCAACCAAACCATCAAACATGACAGGAAGTTGTCTTCTAATTTTACCTCACTGCCGATAAAAAAATAAACTTACTGTCAGGCTTTTATTGATAATACACACAATAGCATCTCTAAAAAATGTTATTTCTGGCTGAACAATACAGTAGCTTCTACATTTATTATTTTATGTTTTGTGCTTTTTTGCTGATAAATAAGGTTATGAATACACATAGACTTGATGACATTTGTGCCATTCTGCGTCTGCAAACTTCAGGAAGAATTTGATGATCTGAAGCTGATGTGAAGGGAAGCAGCAGTTTTCTGTCTGAACAGGAAGTGAAGGTGCTAGTATGTTAGCATGTTAGCAAGCAAGCAAGCATCAACTCAATGAAAACAATTTTAATCCAAACATTTGACACTTTTTGGTGGTTTTCATTTGAAATGTTTGGCCATTTACATCAGCAGCAGATTGTTTGTTACATTTTAAATGGTTCATTTTGTTGCATTGCTGCTCAAAATGCAGCTGAGTTTCAGTTTTGTCTTTCTTCACTGACATCAGACTCTCAGGGTGCTCTGGTGTTTTCTAACTCAGCTGGGGTTGCAGAGGCAGTGAATTTTAGAAAAGCAGATTTAAGGCGTTATGTAATGCCGCAGCATCACTGCAGTTTGAACTATAAGGCATGCTTTATTTAAACGCCCAAGCTGTCGATGTAAATGGTGTTACCTCTCTGAGGTGACGCACACTGAGGATAATTGGTCTCCCAGAGAGATTTTAGGAGTTCACAGCTTTCCATTTCTGGTTTGAAATCTCCGCAAACTGAGTCACCGTCCAGAACTTTGCTGTTTTCTTTGAGTCATAGAGTTTTTACCCCAGAAAGTGATTTGGTTCATCTCCTTCCATGAAAGGCTGTTAAACCCTGATCTGTTCCTCTTTCACCAACATCGATGCTCTTCTGGGATTTCATGTATTCCAGCTTTTCTCAGCCTCTTTCACTTCAGATCTGCTCAGAGTTCTGCAGAACCGTTTGGACCAAACTAAAACAAATCTCTTTTTTATTGGAAAAAACATACAGTTTTTAGCTTTTCTTTGCTCTCTGAAGAGTCAGTGGATGATGGTTTTGAAGGAAATAAGAAATCATTTTTTTTTGCCACATTTTAAAAATAAATCCAATATTCTAGTGTTGATCATCATCATTGATCCTTTTCAACTCCAAACCCAAAAAGTTACATAGAAGGCAAAAAAATATTTATTATTTAGAAAAGTAGTCAAATTATAATGATGATGAACTATTAAAGAAAATTCAAAATAATTTTATGATAGCACAAGATGAATTATAAATCCAAGCTGATTTATTGCAGGGATTAAATATCTTCACCATAAAACTTAGTTATAACATGGCAGAATAATATTTCTATCTTTATTATTACTACTCAGTGTCTTAATTAAATTGTTTTCATTCTGAATATTATGTGATTCAGTTTGTTATAAAAATACTAAACATCTTTATTTTGCATTAATTTAGCCAAACGTATCACTACTTACATGTTGCTTATTGTTCTTTTCTTTTTCTCTTCCATCATCAGATTAAACTCTGAGCCTGCAGCCTCATGAATCCAGCTAGCCTCATTAGCTCTTAGCTTGCTAGCCTTTACAGCTAATGTTTATAACCTTCAAGGTTTCCAAAGATATTTTTGACAAAATTAAACAAAATTTTTTCTAAAAATGAAAATTTGTGCAGATATTTCCATCAAACTTCAGACATCTGAATTTTTTAGGCAGTTTAAATATTTGACAGAAAGAAAAATTCCTCATTTCTGGGTTATGAATGTATTCATAACTTTGTGCAAGTTCTAGAAAATAGAAAATTACAAAATATTTAAATCCCTTCAACCTTTTTCCCACCTTGTGGCATTATACCAGCCACAGGGCAACTTTGATTTCTATTGTGAGCCAGACTACACAAAATGCTCCATAACAGAATACATTCATTTATAGATAAAAATCTGAAAAGTGCGGCCTGCATCTGCTTTCAGTTGATCCTTTGAGGTCAGCAGGTCCAGCTGTACAAGACAAACAGCCCGACTCAGGTCCAGATTCTTGATCTGGTCGTTTTCCAGTTGTTGCAGCGTCGCTTCTGTTTCTAGTTGTGCAGAAACTTTTTTTGCAGTTTTAAACTCAATAAAGTACAACTTAAATTGCAGTGACCTTTAGAGTTGTGAGAATTAAGATGATACTTAATAGCTAATAATAATAATAATGAACCTCGTTGAGATCTGCAATCTCTTTTTGAAGATGGACATGGAAAAATAGCATCACTGCTTTTTGGGGTGAAATAATAAATAATGGGTTGAAAAAAATAAACATTCATTCCTCTGATTCATGTTTTTGTATCTTTAGGCAGAAAATGTTGGAGTTTGTACATATTTACTGAGATTTACAGAAAAGCAGATTACTGTGTATTTCAGCAAATGTCTGTTTGTGGAAAATAAAGAAACGAACTTGAAGAAAATATTCTGTAGTGGTTGCATTATTCATGTGACGGACATAATAGAGGAAATATGTATGAATGAGACTTTTGTAAGTAGTGAATTAGCTTTATGGGTTTTTAAAGGAAGAACTGGGTCAAACTGCTGGTTCTGGATGGCTGTTTTGGGCAGATAACAGACACTCCCATGTGACCAGAGTCCAGCCATTTTGCCTCCTGAAGTTCTGGAAAGTTCAACTCACAAAGCTGAAAGCAAAACGTTCAAAACAACAGCAAGCTACTGAAGCACTCATTATTCTAGATTTTCTAGATTTTAAAGCATTATTCAATGCAGTGAAAGCCAATATGGGAAGACGTGGATTTAAAAAAGATCTTTGCATGATTTGATGTCATTGGGGCGGGGGGCGGCCACGCCCGGCGAGGAACCCGTTATGACCGCTTGCACTTCTAGTTTACTTGAATTTCTTTTCTTTTTGGAAATTGGAGAGTAAGCTTTGTTACAAGACAGATGTTCAAACTGAAAAAAGAATCAATCGATCATTAGTTGAATTATCATAAAGTGTCTGAAGAACCTGGAGTTGCTGTTTAATCTGTTGTTGCCTTTAGTTTTTATTCCTGTCTTTGATTATTGAGATGCAGAAAAACATTTAAGATTTTCAGACTTTTTACTGCTGATTCATCTGAAAGGTTTAGAAAAATTCTGTTGGATTTTTGTAACAGAAAAATATTTTTCTGTAAATGATGTTTGAGTTTTGTTTGTTTCATTAATAACGGGTTGATTATCAAATAAAAATGAGCAAAACAAAATCTGATCTTGATTTTTGACATTTTTGAAATTTAGTTTTATCTCAAGTTCTGTAAATATAAAAAATATGTTTTTGAAAATCTCTTTAGTATTATTTCTGTCATTTGCAGCATTTGTCAGATGAACAGCCATGTTCTTGTTTCCAATTTATGGTTTATTTTTGAAGGATTTTATTCTGAAAAATGAAAACGGTTTCTATCTCTCTGAGTTTGTTCGGTACCGATTCTGTACCAACACCACCATGTTCTGTCAATAAAAGACTTCATCACTCAAAATGCAGACCTGTGGCTTTGGGTGACTGGATTTAGCTCCTCAATATGAAATAACTTTACTTTTTTACCTTCCCTGCTGGACGGTAACATGTTTCAGTATGTCTGCTCAGTAGGACCACTGTTGTCTCGACTTACTGTAATTAGAAAGGACAGTTAATGTTATTAAATTCTGACATAACAAAAGTTACAGCCAACTAAAAAATCTATAAAACCAGAACACAATCATAACTTTAAAGTTGTATTTAGCTTACTTAATGGTGATTTAAAGGAAACAATAACATTTTAAAAACTTGCTAAAATTCTGATAAAATCATAAAGTAAATGTGTTGACAGAAGTGCTGTTATAGGGTTCGGGGTGTCACTGTGTGTTTCGGTTCCACATCTTGGTCTCCACCAGAGGGCGCAGTTGACCCAGTAGCCAGAGATGTGAAAGGTGGAGCCAGCAGGTGTGTTCCTGATCACCTGTAAGCCATCAGCTGCCAGTCCCTCCATACTTCGGTGTTTGTCCCAAACCTCTGTGATCCCTCATGGTTTCCCTCTACGCTCCCTCCAGAACCATCGTCCTGAATCAGAACTGAACTACAGCAGGAATCAGTTTGTGATGGTTGGATCCTGCAGAGAGACGATCAGATTCACCTCCAGACCAAACGAGCAGCTTCCTCTCAGTGAGTCCAGCTGCAGGAGAGAAAAGAGGAAACTGCAGCTGGAGGGAATCTGAACTGGGACAGAGGAAAGCTGTGGTTCACTGATCCAGGAGATTCACTATATTACCAAAACTGACTTATAAATGATCTTCAGTGACATCCCATTTCTAATCCATAGGAATGGGATGGGTCCACCGTTTGCAGCTGGAACAGCTTCAGGCTGTTTATAGGGACTTTCTTCCAGAAGCCTATTTGTGAGGTCACTTACTGATGTTGGACAAGAAGGCCTGGCTCTCAGTCTCTGATTCGTCCCAAAGTGTTCTGTCGGGTTGAGGTCAGGACTCTTCAAAATTATCATAATATATTTGTATGATAATTTTGTGATACTTTTTATTCTTTACTTAAAAATTAAAAGCATTTTAAAAAACTATTACTATATCAATTAAAAACTAGCAAAGACACTCTGAAAATTAATTAAAGCCAATTGAATTACACAAACAAAATTAAAAAATTAAACTATAATGAAAACCCCAAACTATTTTACTATTATGACCCGATTCCTGACAAAGCATTTCAGTCACATTGTGCTCTGTACTTTGACTAGGTCATTGCAACGTCTTGATTTCTCTGCCACAGAGATACGTTGACTCTGGTGAGCCAACATCCCGTTTTCTGCCTCTGATAGGTTTTCCTCCAGGATTGTCCTGATTTAGCTCCATCCATCTCCTGCAGCATGATGCTGCCACCACCATGTTTCACCTTGGATGTTGTGTGTTTATTTTGCATGTAAATCAAACATGATGAAGGTAAAAGTGAAATGACATTTGGAGAAAATCCAATTTTCCTTGATTAACCCAGGAAGTGTATTTTATATTTGTCAACCAGTATTTACTTTGATGTATATATTTAATAATATGCAATCTGCATGGATTTTATGCTCATGCTATGGAATGATTGCCACCCACTACCTTATGTTTTCTCACTTTTGTGTGTTTTTCTTGTTGGAAATCTATAAAATCAATACAAATATTTACAAAAAAGGTTTTTAATTATTTTATTGTATTTTTATTCATAGTTTTTCAAATGAATCACTCTAAAAAAACTCAGAAATTCATTGTTCTCTGTTCATTTTAATCTTTATCATCAGAGCATCAGTTTAAATCCGGATGAATCAGCTCCACATCACCAGCTGTTGCATCTTTTCTGCTGAAGCTGCAGAGAAACTGAAACATTTCAGTGGAAGCAGGGTTGAAAAACTCAGACTTTAAAAAAAAGAAAACTTAACAGCAGCATCCATGTTTCTACGTTCAGCCATTAGAGCGCTGCTACACACGTATAAATTCTGGTTTCAGCTTTTGCAGGATCAAGCCTGATGCAGCGATGAAGACAATCAGATTAATTTTAGATCATAAGAAGGTGACTTCATGAATCCTCCTCTATCCAACAGAACCTCAGGTTCTGACCGCATCATGCAACCTCTGCTCTTCCTGCAGTAAACTAACGGATCCGAACCCATAAACCACACCTGGATGGTTTTTCAAAAGATGATTTATGATTAAACTTGGGAACTGAAGACCAAACTTCCTGAAGGTTTGCTTCTGGAACGTTTCATCCATCTTCCTCCAGTCTGCACCAGTTCAATACCAGTTGGTGCACGAGATCATGAAGCACATGTTGTCCACCATCCTGTTTCCGATCCTGCACTGGGGCAGCTCACCTGACGACTCTGAGGAGGAGAACTACATTAATTCATCAGAAATAAACGTCTTCATTTTCACATTTCTCTGTTTCTACCTTCAGAAGATTCAGCCTCCTCAGGCTTCTTATGTTCTTCAGCTCCTCCTCTTTGCTCCTCATCCTCCTTCTCATGACTCTGACCTCCTCCCATCGTCAATTTTCAGACCTGAGCAGAAAACCAGTTAATGCTTGGACTTTTATTCTGAAAATCCAGCAGCTTGCTGCCCCCTACCTGAGCCATGAGCCAGGCAGGTGGCACAACGAAGGCAAGAGTTTACTTCCTGTGTCCACCAACAGTTACATCCCATAATAAGCTCCATGTAGCTGCCAAAACCAATTTTACATAAATTCAAACTGTTTTATTCTGACAGAAAGACAGATTAGAAACTTTATGTAGAATATTTCATTAAAGTTGAATGCTCTGTGTGTGTGTGTGTGTGTGTGGTGTGTGTGTGTGTGTGTGTGTGTGTGTGTGTGTGTGTGTGTGGGTGGGTGTGTATGTGTGTGTGTGTGTGTGTGTGTTCTTCTTAAGTCACATATAATGGAAAATATTGTGCAAATTGTCCCACAATTCACTTTGACATGAAATGACAGAAATTATATCCCTCATAAGTCACATAAAAATCTGATTTGATCAAAATATAATTCTAGCTAAGATCTGCATTTGTTCCATTTTTGTCATACGTCTGTATGTTTCATAAAAATGTGCAGGTGTGTGTGTGTGCAGGTGTGTGTGTGCAGGTGTGTGTGTGCAGGTGTGTGGACAGAGATGGACAGTGGTGATAGACAGAAAGTGGACAAGACGTCTGTCCTGGTTATCAGATCGTCTTTGATCAGATCGGAGGAAGCAGATGATCGGGTCACTTTCCTCTTTTCAATAGTGTGAGGAAATGCATGCTGGGAAATTAAAATCACCTCCATTCCCTCAAACAGGACTTTTATGCTCTGCTGTATTTATATTTATGTTACAGTGGAAAAACTCAGAGAAGGTCACTAATCATTATCTTCAAGTCATCAAATCTAACATCCAGGTCACCTCTGACCTTTAACCTTTGCTGCAGAACATTCTCTCCTCCTTTCCTGACGGATTGAACTGAACATCTTCTCTAACTTCAGAATTGCTTCAGTCATGACCTTCATCATCGTCCAGTCTCCTCCTCCTCCTCCTTATCGTCTGATTAGATCAGATCGGTCTAAAAATAACTCTGTCCTCTCAGGTCCTGATGTTGTCTGTCTGTCCTCATCCATCCAGAACCACAGCATGTCTGAGACTCCGATTCAGCAGCAGGCTGGTTCCGCAAAACCACAGATGGCTACCAAATGGGCAGTATCATGTAGAATCTACATTTTTAGCTTTAATTATGTCATAATGTGTCCCTCATCAAAACATACCAGGAGTGTTGACTTGAGTCTTTCATACCCTTAAATTTCTTTTTCAACCTTTCAGCTGGGCTAAACGCTCAGGTGGACCTAGCCCTGCCTTTGAGGCACAGCTCCTCCCACAATCAACTCCTTCAGACTAGCCAGCAGCAATTAGCAAACACCTAGTGGAAATGAGCATTTGGTGAGCTCATCATCGGAGCTCCTTCTTAGAGTAACGCTGGTGAAAACGTTAAACGAGGAGCCATGTGACAACTTCCTGAAGGTGGAGTTTCAGAAAGAGCAAGAGTTTTTAAAGAGACAGACCCAATTTCAAGGCGTTAATTCACAAAGTCTAACTTCTTTTAAGTCATATTCAGGATATGTATAACAACTCTAGGTAACACAGCAACATGACTCTGCTATAAAATGGCACAGTATGCCTGGAAAACACATAATACTGCACCTTTAAATATGTGCAGAGGGAAGAGATGAACAAGAAGAACCAGAAAACCCAACAGAAAGAAAGGCGAGAGATGAAACCGACCCAAACCAAGTTGTTCCGATCCAAAAACAAAGTCAGAGCAAGTTTTAGTTAATGAAACAGAGGCAGAGGGGCCATCTGTGAGGAGTAATAATATTATTGATCAGTCCTCCCAGACCCAGCGGTCCTCACGACCCAGAACAGAAAAAGGATGGATGGATGGTGACAGCAGTTAATGAACCCCAGCCTCCATAAATCAGCCATCCTTCAGAATCAAACACAGGAACTTGGATTTCACCCAATCCAGTTGCTAATCCAGTTTTTTCATAATTCCAGTTTAACTGCGGATTTCTCCAGATTTCCCCTGAATGTCCAGTTAAGAGTGAAGATGGTTCCGACCCGGCAGAAAATCTGCTTTGTTTTTCATTCATGCATGTTTCAGTGGCTGCATAAAATCTAAAGAAATGCGGGACGGTTCGCCAGTTGGAATGACCTCTGACCTCTTCATCAGTGCAGATAAATTAAACCTGAACTGTTTTATTCTCAGACTGTTTATCTGTTGTCCCCGCTGCTGCCCCCTACAGGACAGCCGGACCTGGGATGAGGATCTGGAATAGAATTGAACGTCTTCCCACCTAATCGGGCCCTGGGGGTCCGGGGAGGTCCGTGTCTCTGTCTGACGGCGGTTCCGATCAGCTTCCGATGTTTCCAGGTAGAAAATCTGCTCCGAAGTGTCAGCTGAGCGGAGCTGCAGAGATCCTAGAGAGAGAGAAGACGCATCACTCCGAGGCCTATAGCTGATACTAACGTCTCCAGGAGTCTGAGCTGAGTTCAGAACCACATGGACAATAAAGTTATTCCGATAAAGTGATATTGTTGTTTTGAGATCATTTTCAAGTAATATATTGGCATAATCATTTAAGCTCAATCAACTTTAAATACTGGAACTGGGAGACATTTTAAATATCCAAAATAAATAAGCAACAAAAGCAAGAATAAACAAAATTACCCTTAAAACTAACAGAACAATGAAATCGTCTATTGATTTAATGATTATTATACATCTGTCCCCTCGGTCAACATTACTGGTCAGAGTGATGGCTCTCACGCTCTTCCACTGGTCTTTGTTGCACCGCAGTGAAAAACAACAGGGCACCTTACGTCAGTGGAAGAGCCCTCTGTGATTGGCTGAGAGCGAGCAGCGTGAAGCTGGTTGCTATTCGCAAGAGGAGCCGCTCTGATTGGATTTATGGATTCACGCACTGATTGTTAAGAAACGTCAGTCTGGAAATGTGAGAGCAACACCTGCTGGAGACAAACAGGAGGACAAGAACCAATTCAATAAATTTAAAGTGTGAATCAGTCAGAACCTGCAAAAAGTGTGAATCAGTCAGAACCTGCAAAACCAACTGGACAAACAAATGACACTTAGCAGCTAAAATCAGGCTGGAAAGCCTGATCTGGATGTAGTTTGATTTCTATGGAGATCAATGATGGAGGCACGCATTGTGTGCAATCTGCATGTTTTAGTATCAGTCCGATGCAAAGTAAATGCAAAATCAATATATAAATACAATAGTTTTTAACATGACAAACAGAGACGGTAGAAAAACAAAAAAAAAATCCTTAAAAAAAGCTATATAAATCCACAGAATTTTAGATCAAATTAAAACTGAATTTTTTCTTAGATTTCAGAAACTACTATGTAAAAATGAAATTACATTTCAGGAGGGAATCTGAAACTAAACAGCCCAATGCTGACAATAACTTGGGATTGGTGTTATCGCAACAATCCTGGAAAAATTATGTTAAAAAAAAAGAAAAAAATAATATAAAGAATAATTCGAACAATGTACATGTTTTACCATAGAATAACTAAAATTACTTTACATTTGTAATTGATGTAATGAAAGCAATAATAACATTAATAAATAAAATTGAAAATACAAAACTAGAATTCTTCAGAAACAAATGGGCAAAAATTACTCGTAAAAATAAAAAAACTAGATGAATAAAAAGGAGACGAATATATAAATCTGAACCTTTAAAGAAGAAAATAAAGAAGATCTTTGAGTTTTATAACGAACATACCAAATATTTGAGTCGTAGCACAGAAATAGCTCGACGCGCCATACGCGCTTACGTCACTACGGGAACCCCGAAGCGGAAGTCAACACGTGGGGCCGAAGGTAGGAGCCGCGAGCTAGCTTTAGGTTCATACTAGTTCACAGAGCGCGTGAGGCTGCTGGACCGCCTGATAATAACTTTGATCTCTGTTCCTGTTTAAGAAAAGAACGGTTTGTTTCTGCTGGAGCTGAACGTTCTCCTTCACCCTCCTCCTCCTCTTCATCATGGCTGTCAGAGCCTCCTTCGAGAAGAACAACGAGATCGGCTGCTTCGCCAAACTCACCAACACCTACTGCCTCGTGGCCATCGGAGGCTCCGAAAACTTCTACAGGTGGGTCTCCACCTGGCGCGCACGCGCCCCGGTTCTGACGGCAGTCAAACATCTGGGCGAAGCGGCTAAACCCGGAGTTCTGACTGCGAGGCAACAGCAGCCTTTACGCCACTAGCACCGACCAGCAGCGGTACCAGGTGATCCAGCTGGGCTAAACCAGAAGCACCAGAGCAGAACCCAGTTCTTCGAGCTGTCTGGGTCAGAACCAGACCGGATCAGAACACCTGCTGACTTCCGGAACCTTTGGCCCAGTTCCAAATTATGATGAGACGCTAACTAGCCTCATTCAATTCAGTTTGTTTACAGAGCGTCAATTAACAATAAATGTCATCTGGAAGCCTTGAGCAATAAAAGTTTGCATGCATGTGGTGACAGTGGGGAGGAAAAACAGGAAGAAACTTCCAGCAGAACCAGAAAACTGAACTTGTTCACCCAGGGGCTGGATTTGGACCCTGGATGGGCAACTTCAGGCCTCCAGGGTCTGTGTGTTGGAAGTGTCTCCACTTCAACACACCTGAGTCAAATAATGAGTCATTAGCAGGACTGACTGTACTTAGGAGGTGATTCAGCTATTGGACCAGGGAGCCATCTGAGAGTTGCAGGACACTGGCCCTCGAAGACCAGGCTTCCCACCGGTGCGTTGAGTTAAAAGTAAAAAAGGAATAGCAGTTATATCAGAAAAATAACTGGGAGAAAACAAAGAGTGAACAGCAAATTATGGAAATTGGAGAGTAGAAGAAGAAAAAGAGGAGTGGTCAGTTTGTCCTCCAGCAGACAAGCCACAAGGACGGATCAGGAGAATTGTTTTTCTGGACGGAATCTACAATTAATAAATCCATTTCAAAATAAAATTTACTACGTTTACAGTAGTAAATAAAAAACAATAAAATTGACAATTAAACTTCTTTAAGTAAAAAGGAAATATGACTCTTCAAAAACATCCAAATATGAGTTTTCAGGCATCTGGTTTTTTATAGAAGTCTGATTTTTATTGCTAAACTGCAGACAGAAGCTGCATTTAATAATAATTTCTAACTTTTATTAATATTTATTGAAAACAGTGAAAGTAACAATCTTAATGATGCTGCTGGGTTTTATGTCTGTGATAAAAAATTCCGGTCCAGATCTGAGTTTTCCTGCAGGAGGAAATGGCTCTGATTGGGCGACTCTGAAGCTCCCATTGGTCCAAAGAGCAGCCAATCAGAACTCATGGCGGTAGCTATGCTAGTTTTCAAAATGGCTACAGCAAACATTTGGAGAAAACACCAGAGACAGATAGTTGTTCAGCAACAATTAATGTTTTTAAATGGTTTCTTACATTGAGTATTCACTACTGAATCAGTTTATAATCATAATAATATACTTTTTGTGTTTTGCACATAAAAATTAACCTGAAGACAAAAAAATTAAAACTACTACTATAATAAAAAGTAGCAAATACGTTCTTATAAATTAATTATAAGTAACTGAATTAGACAAACAAAAAGTAGGAATGAAATAAAACTAAGCTGTAATGAAAACGTAGAGCTGCTGTAACCCTGGTTTGTGTTTTCAGCGTGTTTGAAGGCGAGCTGTCAGAAACCATCCCCGTGGTTCACGCCTCCATCGCCGGATGCCGGATCATCGGCAGGATGTGTGTCGGTGAGTGGAGCCTCTTCCTCGTTACAGTTCCCTGGTCTGTTAACGAGCCTCTCCTCTTCCTCCCTGTCTTCATCAGGGAACCGCCATGGCCTGCTGGTGCCCAACAACACGACGGACCAGGAGCTGCAGCACATCAGGAACTCCCTGCCGGACGCTGTGCGCATCCAGCGGGTCGAGGAGCGGCTGTCTGCGCTGGGCAACGTGGTGGCCTGCAACGACTACGTGGCGCTGGTCCACCCGGACCTGGACCGGGTGAGAGCCGGTCCTCAGGAGAAGGGCTTGACGATATGATCACAATATTATACCAAGATGTCCTTATCAATTAGGATCAATAATTATTGATTCATTTTTGGTTTTAAATATCTGAAATGCTGCCAGACTGGTGACCATACGCGCTACGTCACTACGGGGTCGCTACTGTTCCACAGTTTTCATTCCCCAGTTTTCACTCCACACTGTTGGTTTTTATTTTTAAGCAGTTATGAGGCGAAACATGAAACTGCTGCTGCGCAAGTTACTCAACAGGTTGTTTCTATGTAAAGAGTGCTAGTTACCGAGCATCCGATGGTGGCCAGGTAACCAAAGAGAGAGAGAGTTGGCTGATTCCTCCAAACGCTAACCCTGGGTTAGTTACGGATACCTACCAAGATGGCTGTCGGGTACAAAGTTTCGCCAACTATGTGTTGAAAATTGTCAGACGTATTATCTATCGACGTTGTTCATGTTTCTATGGCGATATATATCTTAATTGATTTATTGCCCAGCCCTAATGAGTTAGTCCTCCATGTCGTCGTCCTCCACCTCAGGAAACGGAGGAGATCCTGGCCGACACGCTGAAGGTGGAGGTGTTCCGTCAGACGGTTGCTGAGCAGGTTCTGGTCGGGTCCTACTGTGCCTTCAGCAACCAGGGCGGCCTGGTCCACCCCAAGACGTCCATCGAGGACCAGGACGAGCTGTCGTCGCTGCTGCAGGTCCCCCTGGTGGTGAGTCCCGGTCCGCTGGCCCGGTTCAGAGCTCAGTGGAACCAGCGCCGCTATTAACCGTGGGTTTGGTGCGCAGGCCGGCACAGTGAACCGGGGCAGCGAGGTGATCGCGGCAGGGATGGTGGTCAACGACTGGTGCGCGTTCTGCGGCCTGGACACCACGAGCACGGAGCTGTCTGTCATCGAGAGCGTGTTCCGACTCAGCGAGGCGGCGCAGGCGTCCGCCATCGCCACCAGCATGAGGGACTCGCTCATCGACAGGTCAGGCCATCCACACTTATCAGATTCTTGTTTTTACTATAGATCAACTTGGCGTTTCTTTTGTTGCAATAAATCTCAATAAAACATTGAAGATTGGAGCAAAATGTTGATGTTCACTTCTCTACATTTTATCAACCGAAGAAAAAAGACATAAATACTTACGATGAAGAAAATCTCCCGTATGAAACTAAAGTCCGTTTGGAGGTTTGTTTTCTCCAAGCTGCCTAAATTCTTGGTTCCCATGGTTACCAGAGGAGTTAACACCAGAGCTAGTTTGTTGCTAAGAGCGCTCACTCTCTCTTTTTTTGCTGCAAATACAATATGACAAAGACAGTTTGTAACAGAGATGTCACACTGTTATTAAATTTCAAATCCAAACTTTACCCATTCTTAACGTAAATTTAGTCATATAATTTGCCAACTATGAACTTCTAAACTCATTTACATTGGATCTAGTGGCAACACAGGTAGAATAACACTTTGCACCAATCTGAAGCTGGAGACCAGATTAAAATTTGTTGTGCTCATGTCTATTTAATCAATAATTTAGCGGCAAGGTTTTTGAATTGAGAATGTTGCTTATTTGTTGATTAAAATGCAACGTCCAAGTGCTGCAACAGCGATCTGCTCCACCGACATCCCAAACTATCTGGCTGCAGCATCCCAAACTGTCTGGCTGCAGCATCCCAAACTGTCTGGCTGCAGCATCCCAAACTGTCTGGCTGCAGCTGAGGATCGCCTGTTTCCAGGCTCAAACAGCCATGTTTTCTACTATAACCAGTTGGATTTTTCTGGTTTATTCATACTTAACTCATTGATTTCCTGTTTCCCTCAGCATGGCGTAAGAAGCTGCCGCCTCAGTTTGCTGCCATTTTGAAGCTCCGCCCACTAAAGCAGCTGGACATCATTCAGAAACATCTCTGCCATTTTTTAACCACATTCACCAGATCAGAGACTT